CAATTAACACAACATTGGCATGTACGTTCCATAGTCTCTGACATCAAATCTAAGCTCTATGCACTATACAACCTTTTCAACTTCTTTACCTGCAATATAGTGATCTCCAGGGCATGCCACCTTTGTCAAGAGACATCATAAAAGGTTCTCATGGGTGTCTGTTGATTATTATTTTCTTTAGATACATTTAACTTCCAAGCCACAAACTATTAAAATTGAACGTTTTTACTGATTTTTTTAAACATGTATAACAGGGCATTAATCTCTTCTAGAAATTTTATAGTAACATTTTTAGATCTAAACTATATTTGATGACATATCTGGTAGGTTAATAGACTACATGTATTTGTACGTAACACAATACTGTAATATTAATTATAAATAATGAGAATAGTCTTATATGCTGTCAAATATGGTAATTGTTTTGAAGTTATTCAATTTATCTTTTAATTTAAAATGAAATATAAAAAAATAAGTCAAAAGGTGCAATATTTCTTCATTTTTAAATTATAAGTGAGAATAACTCAAAAGGTTTTTAACAGTTATATGTTCAGATAAATATAACTAAAATAATCTGTCTTAAAGAGAAACTGTGAAAAAAGGCAGAACATAATGCATTGTGATGTTTAAAATAAAGTGTTGTAAAGTCATATATAATTGTGGTTGATACTCAAGAAGTCAAACAAATTGAGTATGGATAACTTTCCTTGTTCTTTTCTGGGGGAAACTATATATAGTCTCCACTCTTCACATAGTATGTAAACCTCTTAAGATTTTGTTAGTGAAATCATTTCTATTTAAAAAAGATTGTATCAGTTTCAAGAAAAGGATGCAAATTAACTTTTTTATTTACATTATTTACATGCAGACTAATAATGTAAAAATGGTAACTCACTATAAAAAAAATTCAATGAAAATTAAGTGTTTGGTTATAAACCAAACACTTAATTTTCATTGAATTTTTTTTTTTATTCATCCCAAGAAAATAGAAACAAATGAAATAAAAACTTTAAGATAATTTAATTAAATTAAATTAAATTATATCTGCTTAGGGACAGTCAATCTTTAATATTAGGAGGTATGTATACCTAAAACTGGTGCTAAAGCATATGGCAAATAATTTCAAATTCATTATATATAATATTGCATTTAAACTCAAATATACAGAACTACATAACTGTTATAAAATATTAGTTGTTATGGACATTTTTATTGGCATGTTATAGTGTTGTCAAAGTTGTGTGGAGATGTTTAAATTTCATGCTTCACTAATAGTATCATTTTATATGAAAGTTATATACATCTGTGATTAAATAGGAATAAAAACATGCATTTTGTCCTTTGAAAGGACTTCCTCAGATTAAATAATTTTTTTTTTATTGAAGGAATCATATATATGTAAGGAGGGGGAATGAAATACAATAAACATCGGTTATAATTCTATATTGAGAGAAGTGCTGAAGATAAAGAACACTTTAAATTTCTGACATCCAATGTGTGTAGATACACAACCAAACTGGTCCCATTGAGCTTTTTATCTCTTTTGTTTTTATCACTATTGTTCTAAGATATCCTATGTTGTAATTGCAATAGTTTTCAGATGAGGGATATGATCATGAATGTAAATTTACCATGGGAAACTACTATTACATTTGTTGCAGTTTGTTAAATCCTGCTAAATATATATGATTTCATTGATAAAAATATTATATATGATTCCATTGATAAAAATATTATATATGATTCCATTGATAAAAATATTATATATGATTCCATTGATAAAAATATTATATGTGATTCCATTGATAAAAATATGATTCCACTGATAAAAATATTATATA